GCTTGTTCCTTTCCGTATACTCTTCACTGGAGCTTCCCCAAGTACGTTGATATCAGTCTAACATTCTATAGCGAAGAAGCAGTACTTGAAAATAGTTAGTAGAACTAGCTCGGGTTGAGCCCGCCCTGGTACATCGATTCCACGATGTGTCGACCTACTCTTTTAATCTCGTTTTAGGAAGCACATGGTGTGTGCATGTGCATGCGTTTGTGTCGTGGGTATGTCGTGGAGCTCTGTGTTATTTTGCCTTGATCGGCTGTGGTGTTTCTGTTTGTCTAGACCATATTTTATCTGTTACCTTGTTTATAGCACTTAGCAGCACATCACCGGCCGTTGGTCGCCTATATGTGAGCATTCTCTTTCTTGCCTTGTTGTTTGTTTGTCTTTCACATTGATTTTAACCTGCTTGTTTTGAGTGCCGACTTGATGGGTTGGGTTTTATGGCATCTTTTCTTTAGTGGAAAAACCTGCGGTCACCATGCACACGCTGCTGGCAGTTTGTGACAGGTGTCCCTATTCCTCATACTTTTCCATTTCTTGATTTGGTATGAGCTCTAATGTTACTGTAATCAGTTACCATGATTACATCACCGTGTTGTCGACTTGTCTGCGGCCATAATTGTAACTATATTAATGCCAACTGATATTCGCTAGTTTCTCTCGAGCAGGGTCATGCAAGTCTTGCTGGTGCCAGGGAGGGATGAGTCCATGCATGCCGAATCCGCGTGTATGAGATTATGATTGTACTCTTGTCTTGATGCCAATCAGAACTCCAGATTTTGCAGTGATCAACAAGTAGGCCCTACCAGAAGCGAATATCGAATGAAAGATTCTGACTGAGATCCTGTATCAAATATAATGCATGCTTGGCCTACAAAAATTGTCACTTCCGTGTAACATTGTGCTTTCGCCGGTTTTTGCCTTTTTACCCGGGAAATGCAACCCCCCCCCCCCCCAAAAATGGTTACATTGGTGGACATGTTCGGTTGACAGTTAGCAAGAGTACATATTGATGATAACCCCCCTAGTCGTAACTCTCTTGGCTCTCCATCCGAGTCCATTCCTGCACACCGGCACTGTCACCAGGGAGTCGTCAAAAAGTATTTGACGACTCCCTGCTGCACACCTGTACGAGTCGTACTGACTACTAGTACTACTGTGTGCCTTTTTGTTTTTCGTAGGATTTGGTACGGCTGGGCTGACGTCAGACATCCGAAAGCAGGAGTAGTATTTTTTTACTACTCCCTGGCCGAAAGTACAAAAGATCCTGGTATTGTTGATGTTGAACAAGTACAATCTTCAAAAAAATTCAAAAAGAAGTTACGAACATTGGTTGTGGATGGGAATGTTTCTGAAGTCTTTGTGAAATGGCAGACGATATCGAGGTCGCCCTTAAGAAGTTGATATCCGGTGTGGATGGACTGGAAGGTATTGTTATCAGTGACCGGGATGGAGTTCCTGTCGCGAAGGTGCTGAACGGCGACGTTCCAGAGGCTGCGTCTCGACCTGGATTTCTGGCTACTTTCTCAATGGCGACGGAACAGGCCAGTAAGTTGGGATTGGGGGCCAACAAGAGTTTAATTTGCTTTTACGACAACTGCCAAGTCGTACACTTAAACTTTACGCCTCTGGTTGCCACCCTATTGGCACGCGTGGATGCAAACACAGGAGTGTTGCTAGGTATGAGTGCACAGCTCAACGAATCTGTTCAACAGCTTAGCGACTATATTTGAATTTATCTTGGACTATAAATCTTCACACGCACACGAACACTCGCACACATACATGCACGTGCACACACACACAAACACACACACACACAATACCATGCTGCGGATTTCCTGAATACTTTCTCTTGTTATAAAAGGCCATTCTTTGGTTCATGTAATTGTGCACATAATTTTTAACACATGACTTGCTGCTGATCTCTGTTTTTTGAGATGTCTCCTCTGTTTGTTATTGTATTGTTATCGCCACGATTGATGCCTGGTATGTACCGCTACATAAAGATCAATCGATGTTATTTTTTACTTGAAGAATCAGAGTAGATCTTTCTTTGAACGAATGTCGTTTCTCTTTCCATTAGTCCCTTTGCCAGTAGTGTCATGTAGTGCAATGTATATACTAGCAGTTAGGCCAGTGGTGAAGTTGATGCAGCAGTTTTACATGCAGCCAAGCATACATTTAGCTTGCTGCATGGTTATACCGTTTGTGCGTATCCCGCCTCTTACGGCATGCTGGAGCCTGTGTGCATTGTATCAGCCTTGCCCAAGGACAGTGGAGACGTGCTTCCAAGAACATAGTCTGTATGTCCTCCACTCCTGCTTTGTTCAGTCATGCGGCTGTGTTCCGAAAACCCCGGAGCATTTGCATGTTAGTGCTACATGGATGTAGATCTGAGGGAACCTTCACGACTGTCTTCTCAAGTTCTCATTAGGGTACCCTGCTCATGCTGTTGGAGACCTCTCTCGGATAGCGATCCGGTCTCAAGTGAATAAATTAAGCCCTTCTCTTGAATCGTGCCCCTGGGCTTGTGTCTATGCAAGTATGGTGTTGTTTTCCTAGTGTTCTTGTTCATGTCATTGCACTGGTGGTTTCTGTGGAGTAGTGCTTCTATTCTAGTCCAGCTGAGATGCTGCTGCAGTATGCGAAGGTGCATGATGTGGCACATATAAAGCATTTATTCATGGCGCAACTGCCTAAAGCCAGCAACAGGTAAGTACCGTGGCAATGTGCGAAGATTACAGCATGTCCATTGCCTTGTAAAATGCTGTCAATTTGTTTCGCCCGTACAAGAGACCTCGATTATCGAAAAAGAAAAGAAAAACTACAGCCAGCGCACGCACGTGGACCGAAAGTTCGTAGTACGCGCTGATTTTGTTCAGATCACGCTTGAAAATAGTTCGTCTTCACGAAAGTTCGCTGTACAGGATTTCGTCGTGTACGAATAATTTCGACTTGATTTGATGCCTGGCCAACCATAGGATAGGCCCAAGTTTGCCCTACTGTAGTTCGTACTAATGGAAAGTTCGCCTTATCAGTGTTCGTCCTGAAGAGGGTTTTCTAAATGCTGGAAAATGCTGGAAGACATAGTCGTACCAACACTGAAAAAATAGTGCCTTCTCGTGCTCCGTTTGTAATGGACTTCCGAACAAAAGTACGAAGGTTTTTTTACAGGCTGGGCATTGTTGGTCTCCATTTTCTTTGCAGTTTTGCTTGTGTTTTCCCGTTCCTGGGGACAATCGGGATTTCACAGATGCAATTGTCCATGGTTTTGACGAATTTAAAGACATCCATTGTTTATTATATGGTTGCATGAAAATACCGAAAGTGTGTGCGTCCACATTTGCAATATGCATGGATAGAACTTTTGACACTCCGGAGTCTGTCTATAGCCTATAGGGGTTGTCGCAATAGCTTTTTGTCATCCCTAAACCGAACATCATTCGTTCTATTCGTACTCGGCCCCTCCCCTGGGCAATGCGAATCGCATGCATGTACTGTACAGTGTCGTTCGACTTGCAATTTTGGCTCCCCCCCCCCCCCCCAAAATGAACGATGTTTATTTCAGGGACAACAAACCAAAAAACTTGAGGACCCCTTGTACATGTAATTGTATGGTATTATAATTATAAACCTTGTTTTGTTGAAACATGTTGGTTGACAGCATGTAACAAGATGGAGGACCAGCGTGTTCAGAAATAGTGGCCTTTCTACAACCATCCACGGTTGGTAGAGCCTCGGTCTTATGACCATCTGAACCGTATGGGTGTTTCCGGTTCTTGTCCTCATAAACTTAGAAGCTTTTGTTCTTCTTTCTTCTCTTTTTTCTTTCTTTTTCCAACTTCTGCCCATGGCGTCCCTCTCTCAGCTCGGAGCATTCGGATACCGGTATTTTTTTAGACAATACATCAGAACGTACCATGCACATACCCCCCTGGGGGTTAGTTACCGTACATTCTCTATTATAAGCACAGGTCTCCGTTACTAGCACACTGTGAGCACCTTTCGAAACATTATAAAAACAGTCTCTATTATTAGCACGGTCTTGGTGGAAATCAATGCTGCATGCATGATAGCCAGCATAATTTTAGTCTTGCTCTGTATGGATGTATTGGTTGAAAAAATATAAGCACGGCGCTTATAATAGAGAATACACGGTATGTACTCTTGATCATACTTGTTCATGTCTACCCAGAGTGCCAGACCCCCTCAGAGCGAACAACATACACACGTTTATGCAGCAGGGATCGATATTTTTTTAATGTCTCCCGTGAATTCTACGGATTCCAGAATCCAGAAAATGCCGCAGAGTGTTGCAGAAAAGAGAGAAAAACTGCTTTTTCTGGAAACTGTTGATGTATTATTCACAGCCAAACCAACCCGCAGCCGGGCCGCTTGTGACTTTCAAAAACAACGTGCAGTACATTTTCAAAAAAAGTGGAGCTTTCAATTTTTTTTGACCAGTATTTCGGTCCAGAATTTGTAGGGACAACAAACAACGGTGGGGTTGGGGAAATTCAATCTACTTTTACACTCATTTCCCTTGCAGAATTTACTTTTTTCAGCCGCAGAATTCTGCACGAAATTTCTGATATTCTGCAATTTCCTCATGAAACGTGACCAACAACAAATCCAAATTCACCGTACACCTAGGTTTTCATTGCTACGGTCGCAAAACCTTGCCATGCCTAGCTATCTCCACGAGGCCGACTTTCACTTCGTGTAGGTCATCTCTACTCCACATGCATTTCCAGAGTTCCACGCTTTGTACAATACGTGGAGCTACACACGAGCAACAGCAGCTAACATATTCATGGCATAGGACAACAGTTGGCAAGGCTGTACTGGCAGTGCAGCTTTCCGCCAACACTCCACTACAAACACACACAACATGCTTCGCACTGCATGAACCGTTCACACAAAAGCAAGGAGTCACTGAGGCGCATGGATTTTTAGATATCAAGATGATCATAGTGTAGATAAGATATCAAGACGATCGAGATGTCAGATGGTAATATCCATGCTGCCCATGTATGTTGAGAAGAGCATTTACCTCAGCTGCAGAACAGAGAACAGAATACAAAGGACAGGAATACGATGAAGCTCCGAATGTCAACAATGGATGATGCATCTCTACTTGCCGTCTACTACAGCAGCACTGCAGGGCGCCACAGAACGAACAGGCTAGGATTTCACTAAGCACAGCATTAGGGCAAGTTTAGACTACCGGTAAAAAGTGAGGGAACGGGGAAGTTCCAAGATGATTTGGTCAAGTGACATTACTGACACTTTGCCGGCGGAAAAGTTTTACTGCCACGGCTGTTGCGGCGGAAATAGCATTCCGGCAGTAAGAAAGGTGCTTGGGCTGGGAGTAATGGAAAGTCCCTCCTCAGTGCTGTGGTGAGAGCTGCACAAGTAATGTTAGTATATCGGTGGTGCGAATGTCATTCACAGGTTGACGAGGTTCTCGGTAGTCTGAGCGTGCCCTAACAATAGATAATAATGGCAAATCCTCAGGTAACGCGTTACATAACCACATGGTAGGGTGGCTACTAGGCGCATGTGCGCACTGACCATCAATATTTTCCAGTACCATGAGTGTAGTAAAAAATGTGCTACGTATGACTGCGTTGAACTCCGAGCTTAACACTCTCAGACTGACTTTCCTACATGCAGAGGAATGCCACCACACTTAAGAATGAATTTGGCAGATACAGCAGCATGGGAGGTGAAGATTAGACCCATAGAATGTGGCCAAAAACAAAAATCGCCATTTGAAGCATCCATGTTCCAGTCATATAAAGCTACAAATGCCTTCAATTTCCCATACATGGCCTCATTCAATCCTATGACGTCTAACTGAATGCAAAGCATAACTGAAAGCATTGAGACCCTGGCCCTTGTAAGCATATCATAGTGTATTGCCTACAGGATATATCTTCAAGATCAAGCCAAGCGAGCAGACATTGGCATAGATATGCGCAGCGCAACAGAACTGGCAAGTATCGTTAACCTCTGGTGACAAATAGAAGTAGGATGTGCTGTATCGCTAGTGTACCAGCGCCACAGCTTTGGCCAGCGCACTATTACCAGATTTTTTGGTCGCAAATGTAGACGGATCTCTTACACGCTAGCCGTGATAGCAAGAGCACATGAAAATCAGGGTTTTTGCACGGCCAAATTCGTTGACACAGCTTAGTGATTAGACGGGATGTAGTGAGCAAAAGTGAGCTGACATTGAGCAGCAAAAGGAAACCAGCTTGAATCTCACTTCCTTTCATTGCATTACTAGACTGTATGTAAACAAGGAATTTCGCAGTGTCATCCAAACATTAAAGCTCCGGCCTGGTCTTCATGCGCAAGTACTATACTCATACCCCAATTATCCAAAGTTACTGCAACGAGGGACCTTTGGGACGAAGTTTAGTGGAAATAGTGGTGTCATACACCATTTCGCTGGCCTTTCCCAACAAAATGTACACACCTAAAAGTTTGCCCGGTGCCAGCTCCCTGACCGCCCGGATATTATTGTGAAGGTGTAGAACTCTTGGTTATAGCCATGGTAATGTATAGGTGTAACTAGTACGAGCACTGTACAAGAATACATTCACTCATTTTGTGCAAAATTTGCATAAGAGCAAACACGTACTAGTAATGGTAATTAATTCATCAAAGCAATAAAAAGAACTAACTCTGCCGTCATCATCATGCATCAACGAAGTCAAATGTTTTCCATAATGATGAGGGCAGAGTTAGTTCTTTTTATTGCTTTATTAAAATTGTTGTCTCCGCGGCGTTTATTCACAATTATAATTCATTCGAAAATTATAATTGAGCTCAAATTTCTTACGCGACTATACCTATAAAGCACCGGTTTATCGTCAATACAATAACTGATACAATAATAATACTTTAAAGAAGTAACTACATACAAACGAATAATCACTTTCCAAGTTTATATTGTGGGTGACTCACATTTCGTGACATTCAATTTTCAAACTTCTCAAACTAACGTGTTACTTCTCAACAATACTTAGATCAGCGATTCGCCAAATTTAACAGGACTATCCATAGTCGCAATTACTAACATAACATAGTAACAAATTCATACCTTCTGGAAACCGATGTCCTTAGACGTTTCTCTGAAGCACTGACGACAGAGATTCAGTCCATATTTTCTGATCAATCCATGACGGTTGGAGCAGCGACGGCTGAGCAAGAAAACAGAAGCCCCGACTGATTACGTCCGTCCTTCGAGTTTTACTTGTGGACATCTATAGCTTACCAGGATCGGCATCCAGGGCCGTACTTGCGTGGATGTGAGTACCAAACGGTTTGGTGAGGCATTTTTGCTTTCTTCTTGCTCACTCAAGACAACAAAGGGAAGAAACTCAGTGCGCATGCGCGCCAAATGATGCTGCTCTGCTTGGATGCGATCACGATCACGACGTCCCGCGATCGCCAGTGGTCTATGACGTCGACGCGACTCCCACGATCCAAAAAGAATACTGGCAAAAATATTCAATCTATTTTCGCCATCATTTTCAGTTTTATTGAATTGTCTTGAGATACTACATACATGTATAATAATTGTCATTGGTATCTTGTTATCGTTCTCTTGGAAATGTAGGCTGCAGTAGAATGAGCTCGTCGTTTGTTCGTGTCGTAGTTCGTGAACGAGTTGCCCTGTTGCCGAAGTGCCTTGACCGTGTGCAGCATCACGTTCTGGAATATTTGAATGCTCGCGTCCTAAAATATTCGGAATCTTTACATGGTGTGGTGGTGGCTTACAGCAGCGTTCGTATTCTACAGTCAACAACAGCGCTCGTAGCTGAGGACCCTCACATTCGATTCGATGTGGAAGCAACGGTAACAGTATTCCGACCGGTGGTCGGATCTGTGCTGAAAGGCCAGCTATCGAAGATTAGTATGGATGTAGCAGCGTGCCTGGTGTACAAGTGTTTCAACGCTAGTATTGTGCGACCAACTGATGCGGGAGAGAGCTGGCCAGGCAAGGATATTGGTGAGATGATCAGCTTCACTGTAACGGGTATCCAGCAAGCTCATGGAGTGATGTCAATCAAAGGTGAAATGAGATGACAGCCCAATGACAGTTTTTTAACCAATGTTTCCCCAGAACATAACGAGAGAGAAAAATTCTATCTGAAATCGGAATTTGCTGCTTTGTGATGGGAATATGCGGTGAATCCCGTTGCTGATTCATTTCCTGGATTTTCTAATCCTATCTGGATGAACGGACAACTCTTCCTTAACCCATGCATGGGGACTGAAGTGTGTGTTTCACCTCAGAATACGGTGTACAGTATTTCTTTCTTTTATCAGTCCCCATGGACAAAGTACGATTACGTGGCCGTGCAGAATCCATCCATTTTGAACGGTCGCAGATTACGGCATTTCTAGAAAAGCACCGTACTCTCCCCACCCTTTAGCTAACACCAGTGCTTGATTTGTTTTCATTTTGTACAATTGACAACAGGCGTGATGGCTCGCATATGTACCCCACGTGGTCCAAGTCCTGGGTTTGCTGGCCTACACTGCTTTATGCCACTGGATGCAATCACCTAGCATGTTCAGGGTACACTCATACCTCGTTTATCCGGGCAGTCCGTGACCTTGCACTGCCCGTAACTTTGAAATGTCCGTAACTCCGAATCATATACATCTTGATGGGGAAAAGGCCATCGATATGGCATATGACGTCAATATTTCTACGAAAAGTGACAAAAGAGTAGTAATATTTCCCCTGAAACTCGCCCAAATAGTGCCCGGTAGACCGAAGTGCCCGTAACTTCGGGGTCCGGATAACCGAGGTATGAGTGTAGATACGTACATGTAGTGCTTGCATCTTTGGCCAGTTTTGCTCGACCGAATGAAGCGGGCACGGTAGAAGTGGGTTTTGACTTTGGGTCCCGTGACCCAACTCTGCAGATGCTGAAAGGTATTTCTCACTTGGCAACAGTGTTGAGCGAGAGGATGAGGTCCTTGAGTGAGAAAACTATCCGTGCAGTCATGATTGCCAGTGACTCAGTATTATGCGGCCGCGGCGAGTGCCGTACATTCGCCGCCACTTGAATGATATCCTCCCGGCTAATTATTTGGTTCGAAGTCGCAAGAAAATGTTGAACGGTCTCTGCTGAGATGATAGCTACACCATAGGTCAGTGGTCAGAGCATCGCTGGCCTCAAGCGAAGGTCCCTGGTTTGAGTCTTGGTGGTGACAGTCAATTTTTCTTCAGACTTTTCCCTTTTCCATTCCCTCGACCAGTGAATAATGTGGTTTTCCGATAGTCACAGGGCTACTAGTATATGACGCATGGTTGTTATAGGTGTGTGTGCACTTGTTGGACAGTTGTGGAAGGTGAAATCCAGGGGTATATTAACAATACGTATCGAAGTTAATAACAGTCGAACCCCAGTTATCCGAACACCTCGATTATTGAAATGCCCAAAGAGGTGCATTAATTGTGTACGTCACACCAATGTGACACCATGCATTCTGTCTTTTTTGGCGTGTAGTCTTGTGGATTTCGATTACCTTTTGAGTGCCTGAGTTACTGCATGACTTGGTATGTAGGTACTCTAATGTAAGTTGTGCTCCACTTGCTTGCAACAAGAGAGTACACTTTGAATTATAGACGGTATCGGGCGTCACCTTGTGGTTTTAAGGTCGATTTGGATTATCGGAACACGCCTTCAAAGCAGCTCGCCCAAAAGTGTTTGGATAAGCGGGGTAGAAGTGTACCAGTGTCCAGCGTGATGGTGATGCTCATTCGCTATGTATAAATATGCGGTGCTCATGATGGCTCTGGAGGCTCAAAGCATAATATAATGTTGTATATGTATATGAACGTTCCTAGGTTTAAGGTAGCACACTATGTCCTTCCTTTTAGGATTTTTGAGCAGCATGTGGCTTTTTCGTGTCCGTGCTGTTTGTTGCCTTTTGTGTGTTGTGTATTGTAGCTAACTGTCCTCTGAGGTTCTGTGTGCCTTCGCTTGTAACGTTGTATGGAAACGGGCCATGCACGAGTCTGTGCATGTCCCGGTGTTGCTACTGGCACTAATAAGTGTGCACAGCTGCTAAGGTGCCATGTTGTGAGAAGTGAGTGAGCGCTGAATGCAGTCCTGCCGAGGTTGGCCGAACGCTCTTGATTGGAAAGCTGTTTTGGAAGTGTTTTCTGATCATCCGTGTCATTGTGGTGATCGTTTTGGAAGTGTTTTCTGATAATCCGTGTCGTTGTGGTGATCAGATCACGCTGACGTCCACGATAGCGACACACAATGCATTATCTCTATTTCAATGTGTACCGTGTAGTCCTACTCGAAGTATGTTTTGCTGGCGAGTGCAGTCATGTATGCCTTTGTACAGAGCCACGCAGTAAGCCAGGCACTCGAGGGGGAAAAAAGCCATCAAACTCAACACGTCTAGACGTATGTTGACAAGACATAACATGTACATTATGATGTAGAAAATTCAGGGACGTGTGCGTTCGGATAATAGAAGTATTCGTATACGTAGAACCTGAACCGGTGTACTGTCCTACTGTTGTATGAACTATTGATCAAGTTTCACAGCAGGTATTGCTCTAGTCAGTCTGGATCACTGGGCGAAGAGATTACTGTGCCTGACGGGCGATGAAGTGGCACATCGACTGTCAATCTATCACTGCTGTTGCGGCCTTTGCAAGTCAGACACTGGAGAGATGCTGTCGAGTTGGTGTCGTGTGGTGATAACAGCTCTTGTTGTGGCGCAAATGTGGTAAATTGCCAAAAGTAGAAAGCTTATTAGTATTACGTGGGCAGTGACTAAGTGCTGTAAGGTGCTTGTTCAGTAATATGGCATGGCGCTGTCGTGACATGTATCGGGTCGTCAATGTTCAATGATACTACGGTAGTACACACACGTGGCCTGGCATGAGTAAATCATGGATGTGGCAAATGGGATTTAGGCCTTTGGCCTGTGGTTGGTGGATCTGATCTATCCTCCCCCACCGTTTAGGAGCCGCATCTGACGCCTGATCATGGGGTGGTGGCGTCCCACGGAAGCGGAAAGGTGGTTCTTGACCAGGGAGTTGTACGACTCCTTGTTCTTGACCTGCCCGGTACGCGAACCCGTCAAATTTATTTATTTTATTTTACATACACTGGCGTGTATAGGTTGTGCTAGGTGAAGTCCGACCCGAGGTGCATATTTGACGCCTTGATCTTGTGCGGCCCTTGACTCCTGGTATACCCGGTAGTGGTGTGAATGTTGCAGGACATGCACATCTACACAAAGTCATGTATTAATGGCCCAGGGCACCTGTTTTGTACTTTAGGTCAGATTTCACCTAGTGTAGCTACACTACAGTCAGTAGGTGAAATCTGTTTCACAAGGTGATATTTACTTTGCAGTATAGGGTATAGGTTGGTGATATTTACCAGGTGTTGGTTTTGGCGCAGCATCCAGCCAATCACTCACCGGCTGGATTTGCATGACTCTCAGATCTGCCAGCTGAAATCTCCTCATTATCATGCTTGCCTGAGGCCAAGTAGGCTTCTTTTCTTGTGGGTAGCTAACATTTGACAAGTTGTGTCTATCGGTGGTCCACATTGGCTAGAGCAAGTGACGTAGAGTATTTGCTTAGGTTTTCGCAGGAGACCGTTGTGAAGCCATTTCAGATGTAGGACCGTACCAGGTATGTAGTGGTCTCCTTGTACAGCCCCAGTGTTTGCCAGGTGAACATATTCTATCGGCGGCAACCACGTCTTGCGTGACATCACTATGTGGAGGGACGGAGAGTTCTGCAGCTTTGTGCACCTCACATCGTGCGCAGGGCCAGCGCTGTGGAAGGCACTTCTCCGGATTGCTGAATGCGATGAGCACGTGGTAACCTACTGTCCTGGACGGTATTCCACAGATAGCTTGCCGAGGACCTTGCTGCTCCCCTCCCCCTCACTTTGCGTGAGGTGTACCGGGCAATCTCTCACCTACAGAGCGGCAAGTCTGCTGGATTCTCCGAGGTTCTGCCCGAGATGGTCAAAGCTGGCGGTGCACAAGTCGCTCAACAACAAACTTTGTGGAGCTAGTTGGCGATGTGTTGCGTGTTGGCAGGGCGCCACAGGAGTGGGTGGACGACTGGACGCTACCCTCGTTCCCATCCCGAGAAAGGTGACCCGACCTGCTGTGATCAGTGAAACAGCATCGCACTCCTGCAGTATAATTATGTCGCTGGCACGGTCCGCACGGTCCTAGCAAGTCTCATCCAGTCTCCGAGGATCTGCTGGCTAGCTGCTTCTTCCAGAGTTCCAGTGCGGTTTCAGACAAGGCACCATGGCACCTGTCTTGTTTCACATATTTCAGGACCAGGGGCATACCTGGTGTTGGATTTGAGTTTACCTGTCATTACAGTGAAGGCCGCTTCTATTGTAAGTCATGCTGAACAACGCACTTATCTACCACTGCTCCGGAGGGGCAATTAATATTTGCCTTCGACTCCCCTCTGTTGGCTACATCACGGGCTGGTGCGGAAGCCGCCCTTTGCGTAGAGCTAGCTATTCTGAAGGCAGCTGAATTTGGCCTTACCCTCCCCCCCCCCCCTCCCGGCCGATGTTGAAATTGAATGTGTAGCCGAATTCCTCTCTCTCTCTCTCTCTCTCTCTCTCTCTCTCTCTCTCTCTCTCTCTCTCTCTCTCTCTCTCTCTCTCTCTCTCTCTCTCTCTCTCTCTCTCTCTCTCTCTCTCTCTCTCTCTCTCTCTCTCTCTCTCTCTCTCTCTCTCTCTCTCTCTCTCTCTCTCTCTCTCTCTCTCTCTCTCTGTGTGTGTGTGACTTGTGGTCAGTATACGCATCATCTCTGGACCCCCGGCGCCAGTGTCTGTTGTGTGCAGTGTTTGCTCTCGGCACTTCTCATGCCACAGTGATCTCGTGAGGTGGGAGTGTACATCTGGGCGACAGGAAGTAATCCCACGGCAGAAAGGTGCCTGCCGGTGTGCTCATTGCGACTGTCGGTTCCGGAGTCGTTGAGGTTTAGCCATCCGAATCCACCGCTGTGCGGCCTCTGCTTCCGGGTCATTACCTGCTTCTCTATGTTCTTCCACCATCCGTGACTGCTGGAATGCCCCCCCCCCCCCTTTGGGATGAATTTTGAGTGTTCAAGGTGCGGCTTATAGTGTTCTTCGGAAAATACGATATAAAGTACATTGCCCCCCCCCCTTTTGGGATGAAATTTGAGTGTTCACGGTGGAAAGTACGGTATAAAGTACATTGGGTAGACGACTGGTCTACACATCTGAGAATTGTAATGTTGAAGTAGAGTGAACAACGAACATGAGCATTGATGTAAGAAGTGGTGTGTTTTTTATGCTAGCTTCCCTAATTCAACTACACAATTTTTTGTAAGTAGTACTCACAGCTCACTCCATAGTTGCAAGGCTTGCTCTAAAGCAGGGAGTCTTACGACTCCCTTGCTGGCCCTGCTCAAAAGCGTTATGAAGGATACTTAGGATACAGTACACAGTGACTGACTGTACTGGACTTGCTTGCACCTCATGAGGCCAACCCACATGCAGTATGTTTTAGATTGAGACCGATACAAAAAATCACAAATTCACAGGAGTGAACGAGCGCTAGACAAGAGCTTGAGGTGAAAGCCTGGACCAGCCTGGAAGTGGAAGGCTGGTCCGAGCACAAGACAACAATAATGTGAACAGGTTGACACAAACAGGACTCGTTGCAACAAAGAGCTCGGGCCCAGCAGAGCGGCTTTCTGCCACAGCAGCAGCACAAAATCGAGACGTAGCAAAACCAAAGGCGAAAGAGAGGAAAGAAATGATGGTCTCATAGATAAGTTCATCAGCTTGTTCAAGGATGAAGCAGACACAATGCTGGAGAGCTAAGGTTAAAAAGGTGAGAAATCGGGCTTCAAATGTCAATGACTTTTACCCATCAGAGTACAACATACTACGAAAAGAAATATTCGGTTACGCAGACTAGATAAGACCATAGGGCCGTGGAATATTATGAGCACGAAAAGTAACTCAAGATTCGAAAACGCTAGCAGCAGCAGATGACAAGACATCAACATGAAAAGGATATACCCCGAGATTGTTACGTTACTAATGATAATGTAATTGACGGACTGGTGCAGACTGGTCCAGGCACAGTCCGGCAGCGGATTGTTAACAAAGTAATAAAGGGGGGGGGGGGGGGCAAGTACCCCATGGTTTCACGACACACACCCAGTGGGTGCCGATGACTACAAAATACCAAGCACTTGCTTGTCTCTAGCATGACACAACTAGTGGTCTGCGGCAGTTTCTGTCAAAAGAGCGAAAATACGGTGGTCGCTTGCCCGACTCTCACGTTTCAGCCAGGGGGTGACGAGCAGCGAGGGCAGCAGATATTCTCTGATTGCGCCGGAAGTCCAGCATGGGCTCTAAGAAGTTGCTGAATGCCCTAGCATCTGCGGGCTCCCAGTGGTATTTCTCGGTAAGAACATCGCCCAGCGGCCTGCAGACGAATCATATGGAAAATAGTGGTCAAAGGCAATGAGTAGGTGAGTGCTGTATTACTGATCAACAATAACAACAACAAAATCGTGAGAAAGAATTTTTTTAACCAACAACAACAATCGTGAGAATAAAGATTTGAAACAACAACAACAGTGTTCACATGCTGCATTACAGTATAACAGCTAGTCTTGGCAGCGGTGAACTTTGAGTGGAAAAAACGCGCATGCCAGTCAGGGATAATGATTTTAATCATAATAAGAAATACATATGCACAGAGAGGGAGAGAGAGAGAGGGAGAAAAGAGAGAGGAGGGAGAGAGAGAGAGAGAGAGAGAGAGAGAGAGAGAGAGAGAGAAGAGAGAGAGAGAGAGAGAGAGAGAGAGAGAGAGACTCACCAATATCTTTTAAAAGTCATGAGAGTAAGTTACATTTATAAAGACAGGTAAGAGAGAGAGAGAGAGAGAGAGAGAGAGAGAGAGAGAGAGAGAGAGAGAGAGAGAGAGAGAGAGAGAGAGAGAGAGAGAGAGAGAGAGAGAGAGAGAGAGAGAGAGAGACTCACCAATATCTTTTAAAAGTCATGAGAGAGAGAGAGAGAGAGAGAGAGAGAGAGAGAGAGAGAGAGAGAGAGAGAGAGAGAGAGAGAGACTCACCAATATCTTTAAAAGTCATGAGAGAGAGAGAGAGAGAGAGAGAGAGAGAGAGAGACAGAGAGAGAGAGGGAGAGAGAGAGAGACTCACCAATATCTTTTAAAAGTCATGAGAGAGAGAGAGAGAGAGAGAGAGAGAGAGAGAGAGAGAGAGAGAGAGAGAGAGAGAGAGAGAGAGAGAGAGACTCACCAATATCTTAAGTCATCTGGTCGAATGTGCCGGAGCTCACCTGTAGGCATGCAATAGACCGTACAGTCACAGCAGATCAGCAGGTGCCATTTCACAGAATACGCAATGCACCACATCTCGACAAGACCACAATTTATTACAAGTATTAACCAAGCCTGTGCAAGCAAAAAATAAAATCTGTTTTACTGTTTCTTCTGAAATTCTGCGGCCACTTCACCACCACCGCCACCACCACCTCCGTTGTGCTCTGCGGCCGACCACGCATTCCCCACAGCAGCAACAAGAGGTTCCTTCGGAGTACTGTTTCGAAGGATACTGAACCATAGCTAATGGTGTGTGTGTGTGTGTGTGTGTGTGTGTGTGTGTGTGTGTGTGTGTGTGTGTGTGTATGTGTGTGTGTGTGTTGAATGCACAACTCGCCCTACCTATTGCATTTAAAAAGAATAAAAGACACATTACTTGAGGAAGAAACACTCCACAGGAAACATTAGCATCATCCTATCACTGCGGAACAGGGACAGGCCAGCCTACCTCGGCGGTCAAAAATCTCGTTT